TTCTTTCGTTAAGTTAACCTTTTCATGCAATGCAATCCTAAGCCATCATTTTGATCGCGTACAATTGTGTGAAAAATAGTTCAGACATTAACTTCGGACCATTTTATCGTTAAACATCATTTTTTTTTCTTCAAGTTGAATTCTGGCGAGCACAAAACTTGAAATGAAATTCCGGTATCCATTTCTAGTCTTTGATATTGATGCTCAGTTATAATGAGAATGGTTTAAGTCGGGTATCAACGTTATCAATGCATCGATTAAAGAACAATTCTTTCTAGTTATCTTTTATTTTGAAAGAAAAATCCTCTCTGCCGGTTTTTGTCTCTCTATTTATTGAAAACGTTTTTTACTGCAAGATGCATTTATTAAAATGTTAGAGCTCGCTAAATACGACTTTCTGTCAAAATAATTAGGATTATTTGTTTTTTGTTTTTTTGTTTTTATTTTTCTCAGATCATTAAAATTGCCGAGAAAGTTTTAATTGGCCAGAAATTTAGAAGGAATTATAAGATTTTCAACAGCAAATAACTAGTTTCGCGCTCCAAATTGAAATTTCTGACATTTTTCTTCGATGATGAAATAGTAATGGTAATATCAAATGTTTATTTATAAGGAAACATTGGACATTCATTGACCAAGCAACTAGGAAAATAGTTTTCTGAAGTCCTGTAACTGTTATTGCGCTTGTGATAGATAGCAGCTCGGATTGAGGAATCGGAGTGCCGAGTTCGAATTCCAGTCAGATCCATTACATTCACTTACGTGCTAATACCCTTGGGAAAGGGTATGAACCCTGTTCTTCTCCACCCAACTCTGGGTAAATAGCAGCACAGACCTGGTTCTATAGCCTTGGATGGCAACTGGCCTACCGCAGAAAGAAATGGCAACCTTACTGTAGGGAAAAATTTGCCTCGTCAGTCATGTATCAAAAGATACATGATCGCCTAAGCGTGTATCACGCATGGCACATAACTGATAGATTGTTACTCTTTAGGGGTTATTTTATATTTTGGCTTTTATCAGACCAGGAAAAAAATTAAAGATGAAAAGAAGAATCAAATGCCTGGAATTAATTTATTTAGTCTAGTTGTACAAAGGTACGGTGTAGTAATTGATAGCAGCATGGAGCCGAGTTCGAATTCCAGTCGAATCCATTACATTCACTTATATGCTAATACCCTTGAAAAAGGTATGAATCCTCTTCTTCTCCCCTCAGCTATGGGTAAATAGCAGGACAGACCATGTTTTATAGCCTTGGATGGCAACTGGTCTACTGCAGAAAGAAATAGCAACCTACTGCCTCGTAGTCATGTATCGAAAGATACATGATTGCCTAAGCATGTATCACGCATGGCACATAACTGAACTAGTATTAATGGGGGTTTCCTTCCTACTGTTGGCAGTCCTCAAGTTTATTTGGCACAGTCCTTTGTTTGCGAATCTGTAGCGCCAGCCCACGAGATTCGAGTATCCTGGGGATGACGATAAATTACATCCGGCAGCATGGACTCTGATCGGGAGTTTTTAACGATTGGAAACTACCTTTTAACTGCTGTTGTTCCCAGGTTCCCACTAGTAGCACCTGTAAGGGTCCCAGCTATGGACAAATAGTGAAACTCCAAACAAAAACAAAACACTATGAAAGTATAAAAATAATATTTATAGTAAAAAATACCAGTAATACATTTTTGGAAAATAATTTTACCAGCAATACATCTGACTCTCAACAGAAACCCTCAGTCTGTCTATATTTCTGAGATGAGGTATTATGTCAATATTTACATTATTCGGACTATTGTCCATATCTTTGTCGCCATATTCATTACAACGTTTCGGCCGTTGTATGCTCCGGCCTTCTTCAGGTGGTTAGAATGTCGAACTGAACCCTTTATTTCGCTCAAAGGAGTAGACTGTTCTCAAGGACACATGGCACAGTCGATAAAGGTGTTGGTTAGATCCAGTGACAGAACCCAAAGAGTGTAATTTCAATACCCGGTTAAGGCAGTGGAGAACTTTCAGAAGGAAATTAACAGGAGATAACTGATAACTGACATCCCAAACCAAACCAAACCACTAGGTTTGAAGCTAATATAAACCCAGAAAATATCGTCTAAAACAATAACGAAACGCAAAGATCGCATATTAAAAAGGTGAAAAAAAAACATAATTTTTTCCCCGGGGTCTAATTGAATTGATGCGAAAAGAGCCTAGGGTAGCTTTTCGATATTGGACAAATCTGATTTACGTCGATGTCTTGCTTTCGTTTTTTGAATAACATTTAATCTGATTTGTTGACATTTAATACACATGTCCCATAAGCACCACTCAATAAAATATTAAAAAAAAGCTAACCTATACAGTCGCCGAACATTATTGGCTGAAACTCTTAATATTTATTCAACGTTCCGATGTTGAAATATAACTCATTTTTTATTCATTTATATCAAAACAGTGTTCGATCTGAGTAATACGATAGGCTACATCCGGCAGCAAGGCCTCTGATTGGGAGATTGAAGGTTTTGAGAAGCATGGAACTTAATTGCTGTTGGTCCCAGGTTCACCCTGACCTGGGGTGGTAGCACCTGTTAGGGTCCCGTCTATGGTTCATAATGAACCTCCAAACAGGGGTTAAAACATTATGAAAATATAAAAATACATTTTTATAATAAAGATACCAGAAATACATTTTCATGGTGATAAAATAGCAGCAATCTAGTTTTGAAATAAAATAAATAAATAAATTACCAAATATTCCAAGAAAATTAAATTTGGGAATTAAATGACATATAAAAGGAACTGACAATGCCATTAAACGAACCAAAACCAAAATAGTGATCTATACCTGCGTGTCGCATGTCTATGTATGCAATAAGGTGCTTATTAATGGACCTATTTCTGCTTAACTGCCTTACGGCTATATCACGTTGAAACATTAGTTCCAGTACGATCTCCAGAGATAAGCAACGTCGAACCTGGTCAGTACCTTGATGGGTAACCAGAATACCAGATACTGTAAGCTATGATGTGCGGGTGATGCAATGAATAACGGCTCAGAATTGGAAATCGGAGAACCGAGTTCAAATTCCAGTCGGGTTCTTTATATTTACTTACGAGCAAATAAACTTAGCAAAGGTATGAATCCACCTATTCGCCCCACCAACCTGTTATGGCTTAATTAGTAGGACTTGTATCAGTAAATCAAATCAAAATATTCTTGCAATCTTAAAGTATTTTCTGGCTTTAAATAACCTACAAAGGTTGATAAACCCTTAAAAAAAATCAATCATTTCTACTGAACTGCATTTTATGTTACGTAAGCGCCTCGGCGTGAGTAATGATTAACAAGGTTAGAGTGATTCCCTATTACTACGAAAGTGTGTGTGTATGCGCCCCATACAAAATTCGATATTAAATAACCCGATAAAGGCTGATGTGTCGTAAAATAAGGGGCAGGGTAAGGCATCGGACCATCTACCTGACGAGTTTCTGTAAATAGATGGCCGAACGGGGACGGGAAGGATGGCAAAGTGACAAACTTTACTAAGGGCTAGGAGGCTGAAGAGAGCCATGATCACCCACGTCCTTAAAGGTGATTGCACATAGAAACAGCCTTCTACAGAGATTCTACAATCTTGTGTGTCCTTACTACTCATAGATCCATTAACAGTTAATATTTCGCTATCTATTTACAGTACACTTGCCGTCGTATTTTCACTCTGCTGTTGCAATTAATCTATTTGCTTTCTAGGTAGGCATTAATTTGTTTTCTAGGTCGATATATTTGATTTCTACGTTGATATAGTTGCTTTCTAGGTAGATATTAGTTGCTTTCTAGGCAGATATTAGCAGCTTTCTGTGTAGATATAGTTATATTAATTGCCTTTCTAGGTAGATATAGTCGTATTATTCGCTTTCTAGGTAGATATTAGTTGCTTTCTCGGTAGATAGTTGTTGCTTCGCTGAAATAATGACGCGTATATAAGTCATCTCTATAAAATGGCTCCATTGATTGCAACCGAATTTAAAATGATATTGAAAATTGCAATTTTAACTGTTAAGCTACTGTATTTTTCATTTTCTTGTGCCCACAAAAAATATAATCGAAATGACAATGCCCATACGTGTTGTAAATTGTAAGGCAAGAACTATTTATTAAAGTGTGTACTTATATCATTCTTATGCTGAAACACAGATTAACCAACTCGCAAAATATACACTTGTATAATTCAACTTAGTTCAGAATAATATTCAGGTTATGATTGCTGCTAGTTTATTCTATACTCTCTGAATTTGAAGTTGAATTTATGCCCACTTAGAACAGTCTATACTTAAATTGACCATTAATCTCAAAAATTGTTTTTCTTAACTAGAATATTATGTGACAACTCCAGTCTACAAAATGCTGATAATGGCTGTTACGAACTGATTCACTCTTAATCAAGCATCCATGTTTTTAAAAAGGAACTCATCTTGTTCAACAAATAAAGCTGTTGAATAAAATTAGACAGTGTTCGAGAGTAGACAGACTTGTTCACAATCAAAATTATATAATTTCATCTTTGAATAACTAGATTTTCGTCTTTTTTTTTAAAGGTACGGTGGCAGTCATTAAAAAAGGAACCGTATGTCATATAAACTGTTGAATCTTTATCATCAATATTAATGAACATCTAGAAGGTAAAACTAAGGAGTTGGAATGAAAGTGAGTAGCTGTAGAATCTCAACAACAGTTTCTCTTAATAATTGATTTGTTTTTGTTTTTACGGTTTATCAACCCTCTACACGTTATAAGGAAATATATTTCGTTTGTAAGAATCTTTTGGAGGTAATAATGATTTAGTAATGCAAGTCTTACTAATTAACCTATGGAAGGTGGATTCATAGTTTTTTGAAGACTATTTATGCGTAAGTGAATATAACGAACCCAACTGGAATTGGAACTCGGCACCCCGATTAATAATAGCGAGCCGTTATCCATTACACCACCTGCACATCCAAGTTTACAGCACCTGGTATTCGCAAGCGGTCACCCGTATAGGTACTGATCAGGCTCGACTTTGGTTAACTTCGGTGATCTTACGGGAACTGGTATTTCAACGTAATAGGGCCATATGCTTCTCTTAAATAAAACATTATGTGATCACACCAATCTACAAAATACTGATAATGGCTGTTATGAACTGATTCAACGTTAATCAAGCATCCATTTTTTTAAAAAAAAAGGAACTCATCTTGTTCAACTAAAAAAGCTGTTGAAAAAAATTAGACACAGGCACTGTTTCTAATTTTATACTGTATACACTAGCCTATATATTTTATATATATTTATTATATTATCATATTATATTTTATACTGTATACTCTAGCCTGTATATTATTATATATGTATATATTTATTACATTTTTATATCATATTTTATATATATTTTATACTGTATACTCTAGCCTGTATATTTATATATATATTTATTATATTATTATATTATAAATATATTTTATACTGTATACTCTAGCCTGTATATTTATGTATATATTTATTATATTATATTTTATATATATTTTATACTGTATACTCTAGCCTATAGCCTGTATACCCTAGTGCTTAGAGTATACAAGGTTTTTTTCATAATAAAAGCTTAGCTTTCTTGATCTTGAAATTGCGAGGTTTTCAGGCACAGTAACACAATATAAAAAAATAAGCATCCATTAGTTAGGGTGACCAAAACATTGCAAACCAATAACCGAATTAAAAATGAAGCCTGCAGAAATGCATGCAAGAAATCTCTGCAATCGTATGACGCTACATGATCCATAATATTCCCGACTGTCCTTTCGGATACAAGAATATAAATCTTATTACCTGGAAAAAGAGAGGCTATATTTTGGCCTGGTAAGAGTATATTCTAGTATAGCCCATTTTATGCCCGAAGCTATAAACTGATATTGTCTAAATCATATCTTATGTATAAACAGCCTAACCTAGTAAAAATCTTGGGTGTATATTCTGGGCTTGGGAAATACTGTCGACTGTTACACGGATAGCAACCGTAAACATTAAAGGAACGAAAAGAAACGAACCCTTTAAGTAAGTCTATTATCACTGCTGTAATCTTGTTGTGCATTTATTTATTTTCTCTCTCTCCCCCCCTCTCTCTCTATCCTCCCTCTCTCTCTTTCCCCCCTATCTATCTATCTATCTATCTATCTATCTATCTATCTCTCTCACACACACACATACATTTTTTTTCTAAAGTAAGCCTCTTGTTGGTGGAAGTTATACTAGGGCCTTGAGGCCAAGTCGAAATTCTTATCTTTGTAGAGGCATCAGAATTCCAAGCCCCCTTTTGCTATTATTGTCATGGTTCCTATTTCCAACTCAATCGAGACAGTCGGTGTTCAGATAATAGAATCAATCCCCCGCTTTTTCGTTCCACTCTTTTGGATGATGGACTGAAAAGATACAAGCCTTGATTGAATTACAACAAAACATCGACTTTCATATGGCCGACACGTATCGAGAGGATTTCGGGTGATTTTCTTTTCTTTTCTTTTTTTTTATTCTATTTTCTTTCTTTCTTTTTCTTTTCTTTCTTTTTATTCTATTTTCTTTTTATTCTATTTTCTTTCTTTCTTTCTTTTTCTTTTCTTTCTTTTTATTCTATTTTCTTTCTTTCTTTTTCTTTTCTTTCTTTTTATTCTATTTTCTTTCTTTCTTTTTCTTTTCTTTCTTTTTCTTTTCTTTCTTTTTATTCTATTTTCTTTCTTTTTATTCTATTTTCTTTCTTTTTCTTTTCTTTCTTTTTCTTTTCTTTCTTTTTATTCTATTTTCTTCTGCTCGTCTTCATCTCAGTGCTCTTCACATAGACTTGTGGGTCTTTTCTTATTGTGCTTTCTTTATTAGTAGTAGTAAGCTAATTGTATACATAAATTCTATTCGCCATCATAACCACCACCGCCACCATCATCATCATCATCATCATGTCATTATTGAGGTGGCCACGCTGGAGATTCACTTTACATTATATTAGCATATGAAATGTGAAAATATCAAATAGAAAATGGAAAGCTAAAATTTTAAACAAAAGAAAGAAAAGAAAGAAAGAAAGAAAGAAAGAAAGAAAGAAAAAGAGAAAATAATGAGAAAGGAATGAAGAAAAAAGAGTAAGAGAAAAGGGATGAAATGAAAAAGAGTTAATAATAATGATAGAAAAAAAAAGAGAGAAAAAGTAAAAAGAATGACGAAAACGATAATTGTAATTATAAAGAGTCCAAATAAGGAAGGAAATTAGCGGAAAATTAGAGAAGAGTAAAAGTGAGGTTACTGCTCCCATTTATTGGGAGAAAAGCATCCAAGATGGCGGAAGAGTATAAACAAGGGAAAATAATCAGGTTATGACGTGAGGCCAACGTAGAGATTATTTGTACATCGTACGGAGAATAGCACGATAAAGATCAGAAACTTGAATTTCAAATTTCCTTCCTTTTCGCCTTCTTCTTTTTTGGGGGGTGAAGTGTCTTGATCTTCTCATTACTCTTCTTTTTCTCCTCTTCCTACTCCTCCTCTTACTCCTACACCTCCATCTTGCGCTTCTCCTTCTCCAACTAATTCTTCCTTCTATATTACTACTTCTTTTTCGCCTTCTGCTTTTCTTCTTCTTCTGTTTTTCTTCTCGTCCTTCTGTTTTTCTTCTCGTCCTTCTGTTTTTCTTCTTGAGCTTCTTTTTCTCCTCTCCCTCCTCCTCCTCCCCTCTTCGTTCTTAATTTTCTTTTCTTTTCCTTTTTTTCTTTTACTTTTTTTCTTTTCCTTTTTTCTTCTTCTTCTGTTCCTTCTCGCGCTTCATCTTCTCCTCCCTCTTCACTTCGTTCTTACTTTTCTTTTTCTTTTTCTTTTTCTTTTTCTTCTTCTGTTTCTTCTTGCGTTTCGTCTTCTCCTCCCGCACCTCTCTGTTCTTACGTTTATTTTTATTTTCATTTTTCTTCTTCCTCTTCTATTTCTTCTTGCGCATTTTTCACCTCTTTCTTTCTCTTGTGTCTCCTTTATTCTTTCGTCTTCTTCTTTTTACGTTTCTTCTTCTTCTTCTTCTTCTTGCACTTCTCTTTCTTCCTCTCCTTCTCACACTTTTCTCGTTCTCACTTGACTATTCCATAACTGATGGCTGCGTCCTATAATTACGTTAAAGTCGCTTTGATTTTGTGTCGATGCCTATCTTTAAGGCACAAATCCTGCGAAGTCAAGTCTCATGTGATACCTTCACATAGATGCTATGTGTTATTCAATCTTGTTTTTTTATGCTTGGAATGAAACAGAGATAACATTGTTGCCTTTTCTATAATTTTTGACTACATCTTTCGATAAATCAACAATGGACGACTGGAGTAAATCGAGGCTGACGATCTTGCTTGCATACAGTTTTCAAGGCCTTTGGCTATTGAATATGAAACTGCTTTTCATAATCAAATATTTTGTTAATCCCATTCTCTCTCACCCGCTCTCTCTCTCTCTCTCTCTCTCTCTCTCTCTCTCTCGTTCTCTCTCTTTATCGCGCTCTCTCTCGCTCGCTCGTTCTCTAGTTATTGCTCTCTCTCTCTCGCTCGTTCTCTCTCTTTATCGCCCTCTATCTCTCTCGCGCTCACTCTCGTTCTCACTCTTTATCTCTCGCTCACTTGTTCTCTCTCTTTATTGCTCTCTCTTTCGCTCGCTCGCTCGTTCTCTCTCTTTATTGTTCTCTATCTCTCTCACTCGCTCGCTCGCTCGTTCTCTCTCTCTCTCTCTCTCTCTCTCTCTCTCTCTCTCTCTCTCTCTCTCTCGTCACACCCTCAGGTTCATTGATAGAGAGATACGGATATGTTCAGCCTTAAGCTAGTCTTCGCAAATGTTTAAGTAAATCAAAACTTTTAATGTCTTCCCAAGTACCTTAATTTCAAATGTTTTCCAACGGTGGAAAAACCGTAGAGAATTGACATAAAATACGCAAATAACTGAAAGTGTGGTACAGTGAGGTAAGTATCAAGGGGAAAAGAGAAAGAGTGAGGTAGGACGTGTCAAATCCATTTAAAAGTTTTAATGTCATTAAAATCATAATCATTAAGACAACAATTGCATGATTCTTCTGCCTTAATCCTAGTTAAAGAGCCACAGGGATTATCCCACACCCAGATAGTATCATCTGTCTAAGTGAAAATAGCGATTACAGTTTTTGATATCAGCATTTGTCACCTGTCTGCAATCGCGTTGATTGACATGATTTTTGATGGGAAAATGCATGGTTATCCGTAAAAATAATCATCCTAGATGGGATCTATGAATTGGGGACATCTGGATCAGTCAGGCACAGAATTTTAAATATCTAGGTAGGACCGAAAATGGCCACAAAGGCCGCTTGTAAGAGCGCTCCTGCCAACTGGAGGGTTAAAGAAGCCCCATCGTTACAGGCCAGGGACCGTCGCCCTGCGTGAGATCAGACGTTATCAAAAATCCACCGAATTTCTGATTAGAAAGCTTCCATTCCAGCGCCTGGTACGTGAAATTGCTCAAGACTTCAAGACACATCTCCGTTTTCAGAGCTCTGCCGTGATGGCTTTTCAGGAGGCTAGCGAGGCTTACTTGGTTGGTCTTTTCGAAAATACCAACTTGTGTGCTATTCACGCAAAGCGTGTTACCGTCATGCACAAGGATATCCAACATGCCCGTCGTATCCGTGACGAGAGAGCCTAGATTTGTATTTTCTCTACGAATATAGCAGAACAAAAAGTAGGATTACGACAAGAATAAGAGAGCTCCAGGCTGTAAAATAGCCACAACGACTATGGTAGTAGTAATACTTAATTACTTTATTCTCGTACCAACGAGATAAAAATACAAAAATACACTCGGCCCCCTGGCCACACAGCTGTTTATGTAACACCGGGAGAGGTAACTTATGTCCATAGAGAGTTTGTCTATGGAAATCTCCCATTATCTAATGAGACCTTCCATTTCTACTCTACACGGTCTATTTGATTTTATCTACGAATATGCCCTGTGCACATACAGTGAACTGCGGAAATACCTCCCAGAAATACCTCCCACATAATGGTAAGACATTAGTGGCAATGGTATCTTCATCTAACGTGGAAAGGGTGGAGTAATGGATAGCGGCTCGGATTGAGAAATCAGAGAGCCGAGTTCGAATTACAGTTGATCTCATTACATTCATTTACGTGCTAATCCTCTTCTTCTCCGCCCAGCTATGGGAAAATAACAGACTGGTTTCTATAGCCTTGGATGGCAACTGGTCTACCGCAGAAAAGAAATGACAAACTACTGCGGGGGAAAAAACCTGCCTCGTCAGTCATGTATCGCCTAAGCGTATATTACGCATGGCACATAACTGACTGACTGACTGACTTTCCAGTCGAATCCATTACATTCACTTACTTTGGGAAAGGCATGAATCCTCTTCTCCCTCCAGCTATGGATAAATAGCAGGACAAACCGGGTTCTATAGCCTAGGATGGCAATTGGTCTACCGCAGAAAGAAATGGCAACTTACTGTGAGAAAAAAATCTGCCTCGTCAGTCATGTATCGAAAGATCGCCTATGTGTGTATCACACATGACACATGAAAGAAGAAATGTGGGAGGTATTTCTGCCGCACCTTATACAAGCACAGATGGGAAAAGATGAGCGCTAATCATTTAATCACTGCTGACCACATCCCAATACAAAATAGCATTCCTGCTTTCCCTCCCGAGGCCAGTGAACTGATAAGGAGAAGCGCTATGCTGATGACATAGGTATTCATAAATTGGATATGAATTATCTTAAACGAAACATTAAAATTCTCTCCGAAGTTCTCCAAGAAGTAAATCTCAAATCTTCCCAATAGAGAAAATATGGCGGAACGAGAGCAGAGAGGAATGGTAAATAGACAATGGTTACTTAGAACTATAGTTGGTTGAAGCTGGGGAGAACCATAATCGTCCACGTCCTAAAAGTACAAGGCAAACGAAGTGATTGGATTGCAGAATAAGGATAAAGGGGGATGGTAAGAAGTCAGTGACTACTTCGAGAAACAAAAGACTGGTGGTTGTGGAGAGCCGTGATCGTCCATATACTGAAGGGATAAGGCACATAAAAGGGAAGAATTGAATGGATGTCGGAATTAGGACGAAAAGGGGTGATAAAATGTCAGTGGTTAATTAGAGGAACAACACACAGGAAGTTGTGGAGAGTCATAATCGCCAGCGTCTTGAAGGAACAGAAAACATAAAGATAAAGTTCCGTCGCGAATTTCGATTTGATTTGATTTGATTTGATTTTTTTTTTTTATTGTTTGTGGTTTTTCAGCTAAATGTCACGAAGAGTGGAGAAATTACCAAACTAGGAAGAATCAAAAGCGTCCAATGATCATGTTTTTTTTTTTATTGTTTCAGTTTCAACAATAGTCAGCGATTTTTCCCTCGTTTGCACGCAAGAACATCTGCGAAATAATGGTATCTTTATTTTAGCCATCATGAATTTTCATATCTGACTCTTTCTGTTGGATCGAAGCAAACATTTCCGATGATATAATTATGGCTAATGCTTCATCTCTGTTCCCTTTTATTTGCATGAGGTTTTTTTTCCCCTTGTTGCAGTTGTATTTTGCTTCATTTTCTTTCTGCTTCAAGGGCCGTAACGATTATTGGTGCAGAAAATGGAACCGGCATACCGAGTTCACTTCATACAAGCAACTTTGGGAAAGACGCGTATTCATCACATCTCCACATTCCACATCTATAAGTTAAATAACAAAGCAGGAGCTAATATAGTCAAAGCTTCAAAAGGGTTCATTCAAACCAGCATTGAAACTTAATAACTCCAATACGTAACATACTCGTCGAAAATACAAATATAAGAACGCTTCTAATTGCAAAAAAAAAGTTAAAAAAATAGAATCCCTTATAAAAAAAAAAATCGAAAAGTGAGCCCGGACATTCATGAATCTATTACGTCAACCATCACGGTCCTGCATCAAGGTGGGAAGGTCATTAGGACGGCATTCTCTGTCATAAATTGGCTGGTCAATGCAGGTTGTTATTGGACATACATCCCTTCTTGTGCCATGGCTATGTGTCCAGAGCAGTAGATCACTCGCAAGTTCCTGTTTTGCCCACCAGCAGTGTCCTGCAAAGCACATTCGGCGATCACGTAAGATTGTAGAAATATCAAGGACGGGTCCATAGAGCTGTGATTTAGTTGGATGTTGTCTCCAAGAGAAGTTAAGTACGGCTCTCATCATCTGAGTGTAGGTTCCATCTGGGTTTTAATTAATGTCCAGGTGGTGTCACCATACATTAAAACCGACTCTTACAGTGGCGCAAAAGAATCTCCGTTTGAGGTTGTCTGTTAGATTAAATTTTCATATCACATTTATTTTTATTCAGGGCAGCCCAGGCTTTAGCTACGCGAATTTTCACATCCTTTTATTTCGCTTCCAATGTATGTAAAGGATTCGACGGACTATATTGATTCACCTGAGTTTGTACAGGGCCTTGCTGGTTGAAGCCTATGAATTCAGTTTTAGAGACATTGACATTTTGAGTTCAACATCGTTAACTACATTTTCTAGACGGTTTCGGGGGGTTGTGGCATCGGTAATGCTGTCTATATACTCAATATCGGTCAAGTATGCAAAAATATCTACATTGATTGTTATACAATGTTATACACTGGCTGTAGTCATCAAAATATGTCTACCACTCAGTAAGTTGCACAACATATGGAATAGCACAAACAGAATAACACAAATAGGTAACGGATAAGAGATTAGACGAAAGCGTTCTGAAAGAACTATTATCTTTCTTCTTTTTATGTGCCATGTCCTTTCAAGACGTAGGCGATCATGGCTCTCCACCTCCCACTATCTCTTGCAGCTCTCAACAAGTTCCCTCCCTCTGCTTCCTCCCCCAGACCATGTTCTGTCATCCACTTGCTTAAGTCCGCCAGGTATGGCACGTATTTTTCCCTTGTCTCTCTTTCCCTCTATTCGACCCGTGAGTATCAGATTCTCAAGGCCTTCTTTCCTCATTATGTGTCCCAGAAACTTCAGCTGCCTGTTCCTGATGTTAAGTATAAGCCTCCTCCTTGTCTGCATCCTCTCTAAGACCTCGTCATTGCTCACACGCTCGGTCTATGATATCCTTAGCATCCTTCTGTAGAGCAACATCTCCGTCGCCTCGAGTCTCTTCTTCATCTTTGAGGAAATCGTCCAACATTCTCTGCCGTAAAGAATGACAGATTTCACGTAACAGCTCAGTATTCTTTTCTTTGTTACCCAAGAAATCTTCCTGTCTCGCAATACTCTACCCAGCTTTTGGAATGCGTCCTTGCCCATCCCAATGGGTCTCTCTCTCACTCTCTCTCTCTCTCTCTCTCTCTATATATATATATATATATATATATATATATAAAATTTATATAAAAACGCACTATCCAGCCGGGCTTAACCATAAATTTAACAATATAGATAGTATTAATATATAACCCTACAAATCAAAACCTACCCACATTTCTCACCCACACAAGACAGACATGCTTACGGAAGTGTTGAGGCCTCACACTTATACACACACCCACACGAATATACACACTTACACACATCATACTCACTCATTCCCTAATGAGTCAAATGATAACGCACACCCATACTAATATACACACTTACATACATCATACTCACTCACTCCCTAAGAACCAAATAACACACACACACACACACTAAATAGAGACGCATCCCCTTTCCAGGAACCAATAAAACTGTCAAAATGACCAAAGGAATTCAGACCAGTATGAATCCATACAGCTTTTATCTCAAATAACAACTTAAAAGAGACTGTTTG